AGGCATCGACATCAACATTCTAAGCCTGCAGGAGGCATCGACATCAACATTCTAAGCCTGCAGGAGGCATCGACATCAACATTCTAAGCCTGCAGGAGGCATCGACATCAACAGTTCCTAAAGGGTGATTAAATATTTGCTATAAACAAATAGAGCATTTTAGTGCTATTAATGTTCCTGTTTACATCAACGTGTCATGACTTAATTTTTCTTAATTATCTCGTTTGATTTGATTTAGTAATCGTATCTCAAAAGTCGAACGTTTTAAGGTTCTATGTTGAGATCGTGTTGGACAGTATCATAAAGATTTAGTCATATCTCTTGAATTTTAAGTATGTAAGTCTGTACTACTAGATTTGTACGCTCCATTTATCAGAGCTTTAAGTCGACACAACAAATCTCTAACATTAACCACGTTATTAATTAGTAGATAAGCATCTAAGTAACCAAGTGTAGGCAATAAAAGTTTGCAGGCCTTTTATGTTGTATAGAACGTTTGGACCAATAATCGATCAAAATGAGTCTCTTGGTGAACCAAACACCGTATTCATTATTCATTCGGTATTAGGTGCTTACGTCCTGAACAGCGCCTCATGCGGCACATGAAAGAGCTTAGTCAGAAACTCCAAAGTTCAAGCACAACCATACGTAACTTGGAGCTGCTTGGAGGACACCCAATCAGAAGCACCTGCCGCCTACAAGGCTCTATTAAACGAATAGCGAAATTAACTATTGCATTTTTAATGTCCCTACAATTGAAAGTGTGTAGCGTGTCCAGCGGTATGTCACGGCTCAAACCTGGGATCTTTAGACTCAGAGCCAGGCACACTAACTACAAGACCACGCTCGACCCTGTCCTTTCCTAGAAATCGGTAATTAAACATTATTGCTATATAAGAAATTACCCACACTCAACAAGCGCGACATCCAATCAATTAGAACACGATTTTGAGTTAAATATCTTGCTGGCGAGAAATCTTGAACTTCAATACAACATATTCCTGAATTATACTCTGTATCCGCAAGACGGAAAAAAAAATCACTTCTTCGTCTGACCAAAGCTACGCTGTTACTTCACTTTATATGAATACACGCTGTATTCCGGTTATGCTTTTTCTCCTGTTCTTTGTTTCTTAACTTACTCCATACGCTTGAGTTTATGACACATAAAAATAAATGTACTTTTACAATATTAACATTAATATACTTTAGAAGATATATAAATGTGAGCTCTCATTCATCGGTGGAATAATTTATAAAATGTTTTTTTCACATATTACCAACTGGCAAGTTCAATATTTTCAATTAGTAGGATATGGACATACAAATAATCAAGCTTTTTATTTCAAAGTATTTCCTCATATTCTGTTGTTGTTTTTTATATGTATTCCAGGACTATTCACTTATCTTTGGTTTATTGGTAGCTGATGTGTGTCCATAAATATTGGTAATAAGCTTCTAATAACTTTGCACGTATCTTATTAACAAGTAGTAAAACTGTTTAGTTCTGAGATCTTTATAAATCACTGCATTTCTTTGTGAACCGGTGTTTTTTTAGAACACTTATCAGTGAAGTTGTTTTTAAGATATTGAATGCTGTTATTTTTTGTGCTAGTCGCTGAGATCAGGATTTAAGCTACGAGAAACGAGACGTATTGATTGTCATGGTCCTCCTGTAGCAATTTGATGGCTCTAGCTTTACACTTTGGCTGAGAGAAGCTAACGTTAAAATAGTTGCAAGCTGATAATGGGCAAATTGATGCTTATGTTCAACTCTCTTATCTTACTGTCGAGAACAACATTATTATGTTGCATTAAAGCATGTATTATCGCTTGTATCCGTATAAATTACTTTTATATTTGACTTATTCCATTCGTACTTATATATCATTCCGGGCCGTAGATAAATATTTCACTCCGGGGAGGGAGAGGGTGGATGGGTGGGTTGCTTTTCTCCCTTGAACGTACTGCGTAAAGTAAGAATTCAAAACATAACATTTATCACAATTCTACGGTCTTGTAATTCGTTTTATTTCTTCTCGCTTTCTAATGCTAATAAATTACTTCGTAATCACATTTTCTAGACAGTTTCGAATCAAAAATTGATTTGGAATCGGACTTTTTAAAATACAAACACATAAAAATCTATATTATAATAGCTCTTTTATCACAACAACTGGTATACATAGTATTACTCAGCTATTGAAACCGTCTTATTTTATTAGCTGTAATTACTTGAACATTTCAAAACTTTCACTCATTTTCAATAAACCTGAAAATAGACGAAAAAAATGAAGAAGCAGATACTGAGAAACATTAAATATGTATACATATAACTTAGATATTGCCATAACCATTGTTTAATGTTCATGAAATATATACACACACACTATTTAAGCAAATAGTACTAATACTATAACTTACATCAAATGTATATAGGCAATTAAACTACCACTATATAACAATGAGTATAAAAACCAAAATCAACATGTGTATGATGAGATTCGAGCCTAAAAAAAGGAAATAAAATTGTCCATTGTTAGTTCTTGTCACTATCCATTAACCCATAACGGAATATATATATATATATACACATGTAAATACATACATTATTTTAGCAACACACTGGTTAGAGGAGGGGTTAGAATTAATTGGGAAATCATATTTTCTCTCGTTAAAAAACAACATATACTGGCCAAGACATTCTATTATGCTGTTTCTAAATGTATATTTCCATTATGGGGATTAGAATGCATGCCAACTTCAGGAAATAAATTATACTTATCACTTTTAGGGGTGTCTTTTTCATGACCCCACACTGTATTTTATTTCCATTATTTCTTTGGTTTGCTGTTTCATTGAAACCATTAACCATCAAAAACCCGGCAGAAGACAATTCCCACTCCGTTTTTTATAACCTGGTTTTATTTTTCTGTTCCTTATAGATGTATATTTTCTTTTTGGCCTAGCTGTGTAAAGTTACTATATTACGAAGCTATTGGGAATCGGGTGTGTGGTACATAATTGTGTTATGTATTACTGAGATTAAAGTCTAAATTATTCTATGCAGCTGATGATTTTGTTTGTTTTTTGAATTTCGCGCAAAGCTACACGAGGGCTATCCGCGCTATCCGTCACTAATTTAGCAGTGTAAGACTAGAGGGAAGGCAGCTAGTCATCACCACCCACCGCCAACTCTTTATTAATTATAATGATTCATCAGCTGTGCCCGGCATGGCCAGGTGGTTAAGGCACTCGACTCGCAATTTGAGGGTCGTGGATTCGAATCCCTGTCACACCAAACATGCTCGCCCTTTCAGCCGTGGGGGCGTTATAATGTGACGGTCAATCCCACTATTCGTTGTTAAAAGAGTAGCCCACGGCGTTTAGTTTTCCCGTTTATTGATTTACGGTATTGAATATTTCAAGCCAATTTTTTATTCAATATTTCAAGCCAATTTTTTATTCAATATTTCAAGCCAATTTTTTATTCAGTATTTCAAGCCAGTTTGCTATTCAATATTTCCAGCCAGTTTGTTATCCAATATTTCCAGCCAGTTTGTTATTCAATATTTCAATCCAGTTTTTATTCAATATTTCCATCCAGTTTGCTATTCAGTATTTCCAGCCAGTTTGTTATTAAATTTTTCCAGCCAGTTTGTTATTAATTTTTTTCCAGCCAGTTTGTTACTTAGAATTGTTTTGATCAGTTATATTATTAATGTTATATTATTTCAGTTCCACCTATAAAAGTTTCTTACTTTTCCTCTGAAGTTCCTCGTAAATTTCAACTATAATCTCAGTTACTGTTATATTAATGCTATTCTTCATTATTACATATTTATGCTTCATTTTAGAAACTTAAAAAGAACAAACCAAGAAAAATAAAACAGTCAACGTGTTTGTGTTTTTGTGTGTGTGTGTGTGTTTTTTTTGGTTTTTTTGTTGTTGTTAAATGAAGATTGAAGCAAATAAACTGAAACTTTGTTTAAAAACACGAGAAATGCGCCGTTTTTAAAGTCCAGTATAAAAACTTTTCCAGACATTTTCACTCAGAATAAGTTAGGATTATTGCAGAATATAGGTATATTGGAAGCATTTAGTTCCGGTTATTGCCCTTTCGCTGCAATCATGAAAATACCAATAACTGACAACCAGGAAACGAATCGAGTAATGTTTAAAAAACAAAGCTTGACTTACGGGTTCCATCAAAACGGGTGGCGATTGTATCAAGGAAAGTGTTCTGTGGCGCAAGGAGTCCCTTCCTGGGCGGCATCTGCGTAAATTGCTGTAGTTCGGACGAAATGAAACGGTACTAGCTTGGTTTAGGTCTCGTTTCTTGCCGGTAAAGGCCAGTGTATAATCCTGTGCCTTGAAATCGATGATCTAACGATTAAAACTTTTAAGGCTCTTCAACGTTATTTTCCAAACCGGCAAACAATTTTCTGGAAGAAAATACATTTATAATTTTTATTAGGGTAAAGATTTATACACTAAAAATAATACAAAATATATTAAAATACGCCAAACAAGAAAAATTACATTTTTTGAAAGAAAACATGCTTTTTATCGGTTTAAAAACTACAACTTCTGAGTGGCAAATATAAATGGACTAGTTTGTTTTGAATTTCACCCAAACTACTCGAGGGCCTTCTGTGCTAATTGTCCCTATTTTTGAAGTTATAGATTAAAAGGAAGGCAGCTAGTCATCACCACTCACCGCCAACTCTTGGGCTACTCTTTTACCAACGAATAATGGGATTGACCGTCACGTTATAACGCTCTCACGGCTGAAAGGACGAGCATATTCAGTGTAACGGGGATTCGAACCCGTAACCTTCACTTGAACTCTGTTAAATAATAATTAACCGACAGTCCAGTTGTTTATGATATATAATTAGTTTGTAAATTTAAGAGTTTATTTCTAAGATTATCAAGTCGACAAAATATTTAGCCTTTGTTAGAGGAAACAACATAACAATAATTTCCTATTCTCAGTTAACACTGCTACAATTTATTTAATTTTCAGTATTTAATTCAATATTTAGTATTCAATCATTTTTGATTATCTGCAAAACCTTTCGCATCTATTAAATCCTGAAAATTATCTAACGACGATCACAAAACGAATGCATTATATAGTAAAACTATTATAGAGAATTAATCAATTATGCTTGATTGCATGTAAGGCAATTTTAAGAAAGCTTTTATAGATTGTGTATATCATGTACTAACCATCATAAAACGTTTAAACATAATTCATTAAAAGAGCTTGAGTATTACTAAAGCATAGAAAATTGATCAATGTAGGGGCGTACCCAGGGGGGGTAGGTAGTGGGAGAACGACATCATAATATTCTAGAAAGTTTAAAAGGTCCACTATTTTTTAATAAACACTTGACTTTCAAGTGAATTGTGTAAATTCTTTGTGCAGACGAAATGGTACACACTGTCTTGAAAACAGACTCCCACCCACCCCACGTTGTAATCCAGCTACTCCCCCGGATCAATGTATATAATTAGATCAGTATAATTATTAACTAGCACAGTTTGTTAGAATACACTCGAGTTCCCAGTAACTTTTTAATAACTTAAATATATTGCTTAAAATTAAGCTCAAATTTAGTTCAAGCCAGGCTATTAGAGAGCAAAATAAGGAAAATCTAAAATACGCTATTTCTGACCAAAAACAATCTAATTAAAGTGATTTTTGAATTAATAAAGTCAATTGTGTATAACATACGGCAAGAAAAACAAAATATGTAATAATTAGAACGCACTGAATCATCACTTGTATACCCTTGCTGTTAGTAATATCTTCGACCGTGACGTAAAAATATATAAGTAAGTTTGACATAGTTCACTGATAGAGTGATATATTACCAATAATCAAGTCAGGTGTCACTGATAGACTAGTGCATATTACCGATAATCAAGTCAGGTGTCACTGATACAGAAGTGTGTATTACCAATAATCAAGGCAGACGTCACTGATAGAATAGTGTATATTACCAATAATCAAGTCAGGTGTCACTGATAGAATAGTGTATATTACCAATAATTAAGTCAGGTGTTGTAAGTCAGCTTCTTCTGAAACTGCCTGAATGAAGATTATTTTGCAAGCCTACCGGTTCCTCGGTGGGATAGCGGTAAGTCTTCGGATTTACAACGCTAAAATCAGGCGTTCGATTCCCCTCGGTGGACACCGCAGATAGCCCGATGTAAGAAAACTTGCCATAGAGTGTTAGAGTAGAAGACATGTTAGGCCTAACATGTACTACAAGCTTAAGACTGAAAACGCCAGAACGCAATTTTTAAAGAACTGAGCTCCTAAGCCAACATTTCCTCCACCTCTGGTGGTTATATCATCTTGGCAGGAAAGAAAATAATTTGTTGTCAGTTGCAAAATGATAAAAAAGTCTCCATGTGTCACGTCACTTTTACATGGATTATCTTCTAATGTATGAACTCTTACAAATGGAATTCATATTAAACTTCCAATTAGATCAAACTATCTACTTGGATCAGACCTAAAAACCAACCACTAACGAATATAGGTAATTAGATGTGGCTTTCTTGCAGTCTTTGTTATAAAGATCAGAATGGATAGTTTCACTAGTTGGATATTCTTGCTGTTAACGATTTAGTTGTAAACCCAATAAGATCTCACAAAGCTCAAGCTGGCAAAGAGCATATAATTATAGTAGGTTTGTGGAAAAAATGTAAATAGGTGGGAACACAGTCGTTAAGTCACAGTGTGCTTTTAGTGGTTCAGTGTTAACCTAAGTTGTGCTTTAAATAATGTTGTGCTACGTACAATGTGTTTGAATGCTGGCAATGAAATGACATTAATGGGAGTGAGATATATTGTAATAAACCTGCTGAAGGGTTTTACTTGTCGAAGGTAAGAAAACTTAAGCATTTATCGTAAAAGTTTCCTTTTATGAGTTGACTGAAGTGGCAGGAGAAGATGTGTATAAGACAACCATATTAACTGTTTTAACCAATTACGACGAATGCCATTAAAACCAATAGCTTTTAAAATTCGCTTTTTTTTATAAACATACTTTCTAGTTAAAACACAGATTAGACATAGAACTTTTTATATACTGAAAAATACACTTATTGTGATTAGGGACCGTTTTGCTAATAAGGTTGGATGATATGGACTCTCCAAGATGGTGTAAAATGGCTCCCATTTAACTCATAACAATTGCTATTTGAAATAAATACTAGTCCTAGCAACTGCATTTAAATCATACTTTGGCAGGGATAGGGAAGGCTCTTCTCTATGCATAAGTTGTGAATTATCAAGGACAATAGAGCAAAAGAAGGCGAGTTCTAGTGTGAGGCAATGACGTATACATATGTTTCCGATATAGACCTAAGATCAAAATTCCCCTAATTGGTGTGGGGTAATACGGTCCCACAGGATAGGGTCTTACAAAAAAAAAGCCGCTTATCTTAAAGCAATCACACGTTGCAAACAAAAAAAAATCAATGAATTTCAGTTCTGTTTCTTTTATGCCATTAAGTTCGTCTGTTGCATTGTTTGAACTCAGCAAAGTGAAATTTCCTGAAATATTTACTTTGTAACTATAACAAAATCAAATCTTTTACCTTATATCACAATTGTTCAAAAACAAAAACATATATATATATATTGCGCTTTGGTCATTCGCATTCGCGCTCGTCCCCCAGTGCGTTTATGTAAGTGGTCAAGTGAACAATAGCTACATATAATTCCTTTTAAATGGCAGAACGTCATACCTATTGATACAAAGGAGTGGTTGTTACATTTATTTTTTGGAGTATAAAATCTCATATTCTACTTATATAAATAACTTCAGGCTTAAGTTCGTCTAAAACATAAAATTCTCTTAAAGCTGGTATAGAAAACTGGAACAAGAAATTTTCAACCGGTTTTGGCACATCCTCTCTTCCTAGTTTTACAGCAACAGCAAATTAATCTTTAGATAAAACATAGAAAGATCATTTAAGAATACTGTCTCTGCGTGATCAACTAAAATAAATCGAACAACTTACACCTGAAGGTTAGAAAAGCATCTATTGGTATTAATTTTTTAAGAAAGTAGCCAAATGTATAGTTCATAATTTATTCTCTATTTACTAACTGACGTTTTTAAGTTTGCTTATTTGTAATTAAACACAAAGCTATACAAAGCTCTGGCCACCACGGGTATCAAAACCCGGTTTTTAGCGTTGTATGTCCGCAGACATACCGCTGTGTCACTGGGGGGGGGGGGCGTTTTAAAGTTAAACGGACAAACTTGTAGCATGTTTATATTCATTCAGTTATAATGAAAGACAATGCAATACATGCCGCAAAATTTGCTAACAAAAAAGACAGAAGATGCAAGAAACAAGGCATTCATTAATAAACTAGACGTTAAAAAAAATAACCTCAAAGCCGACGCTTATCATTCAAATATGTATGATGTTTCTATTAAACTCCTTTAAATATACTCCATTCACCACTTCTGGAGGCAACCCATTCCAAAGGCCAACAACCACCAAGTTAGAAACATAAGACAGTCTTTGCTGAAGATCACACTTAACCTGTCAAAATTTACATTTGTGTCACCTAGTCCTACTATTCTCACCAAGTAAGAATACAATAATGAATCCACACTGAGTCCTATAATTACTAGGGCCAATTCTTATAGACTCTCTTGAAATTCCGCAGATGAAAAACTGACAGAAACATTACTGGCTGAAGAAATAAGGTAACTTATTTGTGTGCACATTATTCTCACGTGTTTCATATTACGAGTCTTCAGCTCGTAAAAAAAAAGAAAACTTTTACCGAGATTTTGACGCTTCACTCTCTGCAAAACTGTTTCCGTCACTTCTTAAATGGATTTTCTTTGGAGAAGTAAAGTATTAGATTGGATTGACTTATTTTTTGCTAAAGTCTCTTTGTTCGCTTACTTTGCAATATTTTATGTTTTCAACCTACTACATGCTTATGGGGACATAACGTAAATCGTTGCAGTTTTTAATATTTAATTTATTCAAACGTTGCACTTTTTCATGTTTTTGATGCTGAATCAAATTATGTAATTTTGTAATTTTCACGAAAGAGGGCCGAAGGCCGCTTGGAGGGGTCACCTGTTTTAACCACTCCCATCACTATGCAGTAATCTGTTGTCTATCAGTCAGTCAGTAGACACTAAAATAACGTCACATAAGAGACGCTTAACGTTGCAATTTGTACTTTTATGAAGTCAGTAAATCGTGCGCATGCCATGAATCACGAGAAGAATTATAGTCTCTGTAGGTTTCAACACAGCATGGCATATGAATTTGAAAAGCAAGAAATAAGAATATTTGTTACTCTTAATTTGGGTTTTATATACTCTTGAAACAGAACACTTTCGGGGACCCTCCGGAAGTAGATTTAGTAATAGTTTTTGTTAATGCATCATTGGACTAAGATATAGCCTAAAACGTTAGTATACAACATTGAAAAACTATGCCCTTTCTACTTCACAATTTTCAAGAGCCTAAGTCAGAATCATATGGTATAATATTTTGTTTTTTTCTTCCGAAGAGCAACTCCTGAGCACCATTTGTCAATATATATTCATTTATTTAAATAGCTTATAAATATGTAAATGTCGTCCTTCTGTAAGCGGATTCGCTAATTATCCTTGTATTATAATAAAGTCACGGTGTTCAATACGTCATGTATGTGTTTAAAACAAATTTATACGTATTACCAGTACTAGATTTGATACATCAGTACTAACAGTCAATCTACATTATTCATAAAAGTCATTTAAACAAAAATCATGGTTATTTATTTAAAAACAAACAAAATAAGATGTATTTGTCATAATATTATTTAACTAGTGCAGGTTTTCCAAGAAGTTCATCGAAATATATAACAAAATGTGTGCCAAAAATATGCAACTCCAGTACTACTGCCAAAATAGGGAATACATGCGTCGCAATGTAAATATATAACTCATGTACTATCATCAAAATACATAACCCAAATATTACTACCGAAATAAATAACCCAAGTACTACTACTGAAATAATCATCCAATTGTTATCATAAAATACAAAAACCACATATTATCAAAATAAATAACCAAAGTTATAACACTAAAATACATAAAACAAGCGTTACTATATACGGTATATAACATAATGTATAACAGAGGAATTATAACGTTCTCAGTTATGCTTGTTACGTTTCCGTATCCTTCTAAAAAACATCAGAAATCTTCCTTTAACTAACTTTCATCTCTATTTATTTTACCGCTAGATTTCAATACAAAATAACTAAGATATTTCGACTGAGTGATATACACGTTAATGTGTACATGTGAATTATTCTGCATCCGTTTTTATCTTTGAACTCATAATTACTAAAATGCTTGAGATGAATACGATGTAACTACACTTACAGTAGTTTATTAGAGTACGTAGTTTGAAAGAATTGAAGCTCAGGCGCCGTAAGCCTGTGTAACTTGTATTCCATTCACACAACCTCAGCCAAGTCTAGCACATCATTTCCAACTCATAAGACACAATTGTCTTACCGTGACACCTTGACATATAAGTCAATAAACCTAAGCCAGCATGGTTCGTGAGCGCCTATAACTTTTACTGATGTTCACAAGGACGAAATAAATTTGATCTTTGATATTGGGTATTTTTCACATGAACGACACCTTATTCAAGGGACCCTCTTAGGATTCAGGCGTAGCCATCCTTAGTTTTGGATTCTTTAAATTGGGGATCAAGGTAATGACATCCCGAAGTTAGGTTGAACATAATACGTTCTCAATCTTTGTTGTTGTTTTTCAATATATTGTATGTATGGAACACTTCGAGATTAAGTAATAAACTACTTAGTCCCAAATTCTCAACTATAAGTAATTTTAAAGTAATACCGGACGAAAGTTGAGTAATTTTAAAATAATGTCGGACGAAAGTTGAGTAATTTCAAAGTAATACCGGACGAAACTGATACATTTTCTCATGAAATATGCACATGAAATTAGATTTCAGTTTAATGAAATTGTACAATAACACACACACACACACACACACATATATATATATGCAAATATATTACTATTCTGACGGTTTCTTGACATCAAAGTTCTTTCCTCATGATGTAGCTTTAAATAGAACCAATAACAAAACTTTTAGCGATAATTTTTCAAACTAAAATAGATAACATGAATTAAATACGTTTTAAAATACACATATATATGAAATACAATCCTTATATAAATTAAATACATTAAAATATACTCAAAACTGAATTAGTTGAATCTTATAAAATATATTTCCCCTTCTTTACTATCCCATCTTTTTTATTTTCAAATTTTTAACATTAAAACCTTACTTCAGTTAAACTTTCTTTTGTTGTTATAAAAGACCGGATTAGTTCCATAATGTTTCAAATTTCAACTGTTGTTCTTCGGTTGTTACTAAGCGCAAAACTCACCAATGTTTATCTGTGCTATTCTCACCACGGGTATTGAAACCTGGATTTTAGTGTCTTAACACTTTAATGAAAATACCTCATACTCACTTCATTGTCACTTATTGAAATTGGCACCAAAAAAGTTCTTAAATATTTTTCAACAAATAATATCTTAAGTTTAGACTGCATTTCCAGAAAAATAGAATACACGAAAATATGTTGTTTTTTCATAATTCTAAATTTGTTCATAATACATTCATTAAAATGCTTTCTGGCATATGGGTTTTTTCGGGGAAATCTAACATTGAATTTATGTAAATTCATTCATAACATCATATGATATACGTATATATGTAATTACCTACATGTTGTATATTTTGCTAAATCCTTTTTGTTTGTTTTTGTAAATTTACTATAAACACGTGCCACAGTTCATATAACTGTTAATTTCACTCTTCCGTAACTAGAACATAATTTGACATAGCATATTCAGGTGTGTGTGTTTTTTTCTGAATTTTCGTGCAGTTGTTCTTCCTGTAGTTATGACACTATTGTTAAATGGATATCGAAAGGTCGTAAACATGTACTAACCTTTTACTTAGGTCAAAGTTACGTAATACAACTGCTATCTCATAAACGTGTATTCTAATTGGGACTTTTGTTTGTGTCCTCTTCCTTGGGCTGAGCAAATCCATCTCAAAGGGTGGTATAAAAACTTGTCCAAGATGGTATGAGTTGAAGCTCTCTCCCTTGAATATGCCATTTGGAATAGTCTTTGATGAAGGTAATCTATGGATTATGGGATACCGCACTAGATTCTCTTTGTATGAATTGAAAGTGTCAGTATAACATTATTTTTTCGGTCCTTCTGTACAGAAGTTTCTGCAAAACATCTTTACCCTAGCAGCCAGTTAAAGTCACAACAGGAAATAGAAGCTGGGCAGTTGGTAATAAACACATTTGCGAATAGAGTTCTGTTTTACATGTTCATTTGTGTTTGTCCGTTTTTTCTTTGCTGTTCTTGTTAAATTTATTCTCTATCTAACCTTTTCTGAACCAGCGTTTTTACGGAAACTTTTGGTAACCTGTCGGATATCAGTGTATCTGAATACCATAGAATAACTTTCAAAAAATACGTTTTCACGTGCATAGCAGCTTTGTAGTGCCATCTACCTTTGCATACTTTATAGATATATATTTATGTGTTATTGTTGATATTTTAGCGCAAAGTTACCTGCGCTCTGTCTACCGCAAGGAATCGAACCCCACATTTTCATATTGTAAGTCCGTAAACTTACTTCTGACCTACCTGGAGACATATATTAAATAAATCTGGTTGGTTGGTTGTTTTATGCGCAAAGCTGCACAGTGGACTCTTTGCGCTCTGTTTACCGCGAGGAATCGAACCTCGGCTTTAGTCGTTGTAAAACCGAAAACCCACAGCTAACCTACCGTGAGACATAAATTAAGAACAAAAAAACTGAGACAGAAAATATAATTCAGAAAGCTTTACAGTTTAAAGGATTTAAACATAACTTAATGCACTTTACCTGAACAAACTAAATGCACTAAGAATTAACGAAACGTTTTTTTTTGGGGGGGGAGAAACAGCAAACTTTTTAATTAATCGTATATATCTATAGTCGTTCTTTTTTTCGACAGGCAAATATCTTCAGTTTCCTTTTATATGTAAATTAGTGATAATCCCTTGTAGTATATAAATATAACTTCCGCAAGTGAAATGATAAAAACTGTAATATATTGTAGAAAATATTTATTTTCCGTACAACACAAACTTCTTTAAACTCATTTGAAAATATAAGTATTAATGCTAAAAAATACACCACAAATAGTTTTATCATTTTTTTAATGCTTAAGATGTTTTCGCTTTTCTCATAATTCGTGGAAACACTAACACTAATTTAACAGTAGGTCGAGTAAGAAAACTCAGAGCCCCTTATTTGAAGCAAACATTATCAAACAATTCTAAAGTTCCTTTGTAGGTGGATTGTATGTTAAATTAATTTAGCAAAGACTGAAACTACATAGAAAGTAAAGAGAAAACGCTAACTTTATGGAGCTTTTTTATTAAATTTTCCACAGCTTCATAAAAAGCAAATGCAGGAGAATAGGTTTATTTGATGCTTTTAAAGCTTTTAGTTTTAAAGTCATAGCAATTCCTATAACAATGAACTATGTACACAATGAGCCATGTGTTATAATAAAATTCAACGTCTTTTGTTTTTTCAAAAATGGCAATTTACATATTTCATATTGAGGGATCAAAGTCATGTAAGAAAAACAATGAACTTGAAAGTTGTAAAAAGGTTTTATACGTCACTTAAAATAAGCTTTGCTTAAAAATATTAAACATTTCAGATTAAAAGCATCCGGGATATCAAAATGTATTCCAGCGTTCAATAAAATAATACTTTTATATATATTTTATAAGAGGCAAAACTGTTTGTGGGAAAACTTTCAATAAAAAAATGTGAAACAATATGAGTAGTTACAGCTTCGTAACAAAAAATCCATAGTAAGAACCTTACTTTTAAAAATTAAGTTGTGTACATAAATAGTATGATAAAAGTTAAGTTTGAAAAATACTATGTAGTCTGGTTTAATAATTATTAAGGCATTATGCAATATTATTGTCCTTTTGTATTGTTATTGCCTACTATGACGTGTAGCATTTTTAATACTTATAGTATAGTGTAGTATCTTTATTTTTTAGTTATTTTTATTACTCGCCGTGTCCTGTAATGTTGTCAAAATTAACAGCTTTACAAGCATAAGTTAAGTAACGAAGAACAAACACAAATTTACAAAAATATGATGATGATTACTCCGACTAGTTTGTGTTTGTTCTTCGTTACTTAGCTTGTGCTTATAAAGCTGTTAATCTTTACAACATTTGTAGATAGTAAAAAGAATTGGTTAACTTAATTTCTCCTGTAATATTGTTTCCTGTAGAACTGTCATTACAATGTTCTCTTATGCTGCTTCTTGTATTACTGTTATTACAGTATCCTGTATTAATGTTTCTTGCAAAACTATTATGACTTACAATGTTATGTAATAGCGTTAGTGGATTATGGAAAATTATTATTACATAAAAGGTATAAATATTTTGTGTGTTAGACAATCGTGAGGGTTATGACTGTTTTTTTTTGTTCGTTACTCAGAGTGGTGTTGACTATGTTCTTATTCTATGTGTTGTATATCATAGTACTGATGTATTACTGCACGAGAGCAGATTATGTAAAGTGAATTCCATTACAGTCTGCCAAAATCAATAATCCAGTTTATGATAATCTGTTTTCTCAAAATCTTGTGAGATAAGCCTTAGTTGATTTAACAAATGTGTATGGAAATTAAATCGTTTTGATTTCATTCTTTTTTCTATTGGACAAGGTTATGTTTCAAAGTAGCTCAATCATAAGATCACGTTTCTGATACTATTGCCTGATAACAAACTTTGAAAAAAATATTTTTCTGGTTTATGTTAATCCCTGTTTACTAAAGTGAAAATTGTAAATTCATTATATGTTACATAAATCATTCTAAAACTGATTTTTCGCGTTGACTCATAATGGTTAAACTCATTATCAATGAAATCTTCATTCAGAATAATAATAATGGTTAAACGCAATATAAATGAGATCTTCATCCAGAATAATAATTATCAACCACGTGATTTATTTTTTGCAGAGTTTACATCAGAGAAACGGTTCGAACATGCAAATCTTGTGGTGTGGAATATGAAATTGACTCAAAAACCTTACCATAGAAAAGAAAAATCAATTAACATCAAATCCTTCTTGGCAATTTTTGGAGATATTTACTGGCTTCTTAATATTAATATTCATAAATCATCCACTATCCATCTAAGTTTTTCACTAGTGTTCTGCATAAACGCATCAAGTTAATGTACAGTATAGTACGTAGTGATCTCGTGTAATAGAAACCTTCTTGCTACTTAATTATCTTTAAAAATGTTACTTGCACTGTATCAGTCCCTATTATTCATATAAAAGACTGGCAAAGCATGTTGAGGCTGAATTAAAGGTAGTATGCTACCAAACCTGTAGTCCACTGGTATAGTACTAACTTTCAACGATAAATCCGGGGTTTGATTCTCCGTGGTGAACAAAGTGTAGGTGGCCTATTATGTAATTTTGCGCTAAAACAAACAAACTGTTTTTGTTTGGTTTTTATTAAGCGCAAAGCTACACAATGGAATGTGTTCTGCCCATTGCGAGTATCGAAACCCGAATTTTAACATTATAGCTGTGAACTTTGGTTTGAGGTGCAGCTTGAAACTTATGAAAGTTTGTCTAGCGAGTTTCGCCACCTTTAAATCCTTGCTAGCAGTAACAACGTTGGTCAATTTTACCGACCTCGTAACCACCAAAAAAAATCTAAATTTGTCTAAATTACCCCTTTTTTCTTTCTAGAATGACTTCAAATTGTAACATGAAACTACATTCCTTTATCCTAAGTAGTTTTAAACTCATAACAAAATACATCTATTTTTATTAAATTTTATTTTGCCATTGCCCTTTGAACCTTGTCTAACTACTATTCGCTTCATTACAAGTTCTAAATCACTTGGGGAACGTGGATGTCACGTTATAATATCCAACTACGTTACCCACGATCTGCTCGCGTGCGTGCCTCGTGAAATTT